ACCCAGCCAAAATAATGGGCATCTGCTGTGTTTCCAATTCTTTGTCATTAATACCCTGTATCAGTGACTAATATTGTCTTTCCATCTTGCCTCTAAACATAAAGCCATCCAAAGCCTCTTCCTTCCAAGAAAGGAGCAAAAAGTCAGCAAAATTAGCAGCAGTGAAGTATGTTAGCACTTCGGTATTGTGTTGCACTGTTAATATAATTCCTTCTGTAGAAAAGCATTATTTGAGATAAAACATTTTTTAATAAAAGTCTATAATTTGCAAGTTCTACCATGTATGTTTCTATTATCAGGTTCAGACTCTTGGCAAAACTATTTTTTTTTTTTTCTCCCAGCTCACTTCAGACATCCCGTCCCTTTTCACTGTTGCTAACTATTGCTGGCACCTGCCAGCTCTCCTCTGAAACTTAACAGTGAGAAATGTACAGGAAAAATTGAAAGAGGATGTATTACCTCTTGCATTTTCTCTCCCTCTGAGAGATATCAACTAACCTCTTGTGTCCTCACCATCGTTTTGGAACTGATTTGATGCTTGTCGTGCTATTTTGGAGCTTACCCCCTCCAGCTATTGCCCTTTTTTTTCTTTTTAAATCTTGCGCAGCTAAACCCGTTCAACAGCAGGAATGATCCTTGACGAATTATTGGCAGTATAGTAACTAGCTGATTTCTTCTGGCTGTTACTATGATTCTAGAAGTGTTTTGGCACTTCTGAGGTTGTTCTAAGCTCCAAAGGTCAACACGGATTGGTGCGTCAGGTGCTGAAGGAGTTCTTTTTTCTGGCTTCACGCCATAAAGACATAAGAATTAGCATTGGGAGTAGACCATGCAGCCTGTCAACCCTGCTCTGTATTCAATATGATCAAGGCTGATCTTCAGCTTCAACACCTTGTTCCCTACGTGCCTTGTTTCCTTGCAATACCAAAACAAAAGTCTATCTCGGCCTTAAATATGCTTAACGACAGGCCGTTGTTGGACAGAGAATTCCAAAGATTCTCAATCTTTTGAGAGAAGAAATTTCTCCCAATCTCAGTCCTAAATAGGCCTCCTCTTATCCTGAGACTGTAGTCCTGCGCATGCTCTTTGATCCACTTAGTGGCGACAGTCATACTAAATGTACCCCAAACCATCTGCAACTTGTAAGTCACAGTGATTGGAATGAGCAGGAAGGAGGATTTGGTATGATGTTACTATTGTCTTTGATGGTTTAAGGTGTGGCCCTTACCATGACCTTGGCCTTGGCAATAGACATTCCAACTATGGTCAGCACCCTATCTTTCGTGGGGTTAGGACTTAGAGATGCCTGACCATTTCCAGTTATGTGTATCTGCTTCTGGTTGTTGATCACCCTGTCTCGCAAGAAAAAAGGGAAATATGTTATTAATTGTCATGTAGACTGCACAATATGGCTGTCATAGTTGTATAACTGGCAAATTATTTATGAGCTGTTACTGTGAATTTTGCACGAGTGTTAAGTGTGTGAGGGTGAGCTGAAGCGTTTGAATGTTTGACAAACAACTTGATGAGCAGTAGCTGAAGACAATATGAAGTTGGCTATTCAATGTAATGCAGGTAGGACACCTGAGGTTTATCACGCAGAACAATCCCTGTACCTGTTTTGAGGAGCTATCCAAGTTAACTCCCATAGGATCATGTAAATCATGAGTTCATTCACTGCTGCAAATCTTGAAATGAAGGCAACCATCTGTTCTAATAATAATAAATACCCAAAATATTCCTGACCAAAACCAGATGAAGGACGTTTTTTTTAGTAACAATTAAATCAAAGGAGGATTAAAAGGACATGTTTTGATATGAAATATTTCAAGAAATTATTCATTTTACAGATGACAACAGAGGCCAAGAAACTGGTGCTTTGTATGTAATAGATAATAAACACCTAGAGAACCCAGGAGGCCTGTGCTGTAATGATTGCCGACTGCTCTTTTTCCATGTCAGAACGTGTGGGTTTATGTTCCCAAATGAATCTTTGATAATACTCATGATGGTTCAACTCAATTATAATAAATTGACTTTGAAAAATTTCCTGTTGTTAAAATGAGTAAGCCACCAGATAAAAGCTTTGGAATTTCAACCCTCCAACTCCAAGGCTAATACTGAACCAAAGATAGCACTTATTTTATAACTACGTTAGACTGATTCTCTACCAGCCAACATAAACCGTAGGAGCAAGCTTGGATCATTCTGCTGCTCAGTCCTGCTCTGCTGTTCATTAAGATCTTGGCTGATCTCACAAAAATCTGTCTTCCCACACTTTCCCTCTGTCGTTTGATGCCTATGCATCCTCTACTCCACTGGTATTTTTCTTGAATATAGACAGCACTTTGAGGTAAGAGGACATTTACAACCTTCATCTTGGTTCTAAACATCTGATGCTTTATTTGCAGACTTCAGCCTCGTGGGACCTACCTCATTAAGTCTTTCAAGAATTTCATATTTTAGTAAGATGATCTCTCATTCATTCTTTTAAACTCTTGGGAGGAAAGGCCTAATCTCCTGAATTTCTCCACAATACACCCATCTCCGGAATCATGCTAGTAAATTTTCATTGCACACTCTCCAAAACAAATCTATCCTTCCTTGGTGAGAAAACCAACTAAAGAGTAAGACCTGAGATAACAAGGTGTACAGCTGGATGAACACAGCAGGCCAAGCAGCATCAGAGGAGCAGGAAGGCTGACGTTTCGGGCCTAGACCCTTCTTCAGAAAAAAAG